CCAGTTCCAGAGGATAATCCAGTAAAACCCCCAACATAGCATACGGGAATTTAGAATAACCAAACACGGATGACGACGTAGAAGCAAGAGTGATAGTTTGTGGAGTCATTTTAAGAGATAAAAGACGTAACAAAAAGAAAAGGTGGTGGATAAAAGACGGAGGGAGCAGCCGCTTTGTTTGCTGCACTATGATTTGGAGGTAAGTTATGTTTTTTCGTAGTTAATATTTTTAACTGAATAAAACATAACCACATATAATAAACATATATAACAACAACCTTTACATAAAATAATAAACATTTCCACATATCTCCGATGTCCACCGGACTCTCAGTTGCGCCATGTCAGCTGTTTGGGATTCCCATCCATTCTTATGTCACCGCGCTTTCTGATTGGCTACCTGTCACATTCGACAGGCTGCGTTCTCGCTCCCCACAGGCTGCAGTAATCAGGCCAAGACAATGTTGAATATGCTCGATGTTAGATCGGGCATATTCAACAAAAGGCTTTAGCGGGCCGAGAACACCAACATGATGCAGAGGCCTTATCTGACAGTCACTACCCCCTTTCTGCCTCCCCAGTGGGCCACAGCAAAATTGGCCAAGTCTTGACTGGTCCGCGGTAATAAAATGGTTGGGGACCACTGGTCTAACAGATTGGTATTATGCAACATGTTTAACTCATCTTGTTGAATTTCCCACAATCAAATATATAGTAAAGAGCATTCAGATAGTAATAATTATGTGAATAACATAAATTTAGCCAAAAAGACCATGACTTCTATGTTACAATAATCTCTTAGTATGTATGTTTACTTAATTGCCTTTGTGATTTTTGACATTTCCAGACAGCAACTTAAGTCAAACATGTGTCATACTTCAAGATGCTCCCACATACCAAAACTCCTTTCATAAGCTAAGTGGCTTACAGCCGTTTGGTCGGCCCACAAACACAAGAGCTCTTCTTAAATTAACTGTGGAACATTTCTTTCTCAAACTTCAGGAATGTAAGTTTCGTGGAATTTGTATGATTAAAAAAATGTTTTGTATTATGTGCGTATTGTGACGAAAGGTGTAAAAAAAAAAAAAAAAGCAGAATTCAGCTTCTTTGCACCCCAAATCTAGAACAGACTTCCATAGAACTGCAAAGCAGCTGAAACACTGAGCTACTTTAAATCAAGACTAAAAACCCAGCTGTTTAGAGTTGCTTTTGGACCACAATAAATGGAACATTGACCAACATATTTAACGTGTGATGATCTTGATGATGGTGCAGTGGAAAATTTTAAGGTTACGATGATTATTAACTGAAACAATGCATAACAGTTTCATGATTCTTTTGAGACACACACCTGCTCATTAGGGAGTTTAGGGAGTCTTTAAGAGCAGTTCCTCTGTCCTTGGTAGTACAATAAGTCTATGGAGTACTCATCTTTCCTGGAATGTTATGACGTACCCTAGTTTCCGGATGGTTTCTAATAACACTGTATGTTTTGTTTTCTCAGGGCTCTTCCTCCTGACTGCAATCAGAGAGCAGAGTCTTCGAATGCTGTAAAGCCTTCAAATTAATACCGATTAAGAATATAAATTCTTCTTCTGATTGCTTGTTTCTTGAAACAGTTTTTCCTCACTCTTTGTTAAAGAAAATTTCCACGACAATGGCGCTGGTCAAAATGTGATGTTTGTCACTGATTATTCATCTAGTGACTGTACGATGTGTTTATGACTTCTTATTCTTGAGTTTTTATGATGAAAACCACTTTGAACTGCCTTGTTGTTATGTGCTATACAAATAAACTTGATTGATTGACTGATTTATTGATTGATTGATTTATTGATTGAATATACAGTATTTCTCTTCCCCAGGATGAGTATGAAAGCTCAATGTTAATCAACACCTCTGAAGTTGATGTCTGCCTCTACACCTGCATAAAGAAAGAAACCAAAACACACAAGTTGAAGAAAAGTTGTTGATAGACCCAAGATTTTTCAGGGTTTGTCACTTAGAATCCAAATTTATCAAATCTACACTTCAACTATGAGTCATACTTTGGGATTTTCTGGGGTTTTTTAAGATTCCGTCTGTCACAGTTGATGTCAGACCTATGATGGATTTACATTTTTTAAGTGGGAAATCTTGAAAAATCAGCATTGAATCAAATCTTTACTTTCCCCCACTGTAAGTATGACAGATTCTTACAATGAAAAAGTTAGCTGCTTTAGCTTTACTACTCAGCAATCTCCTTCACATGAAAATTATATGAATACTAAGAGGATCTTTTTTAAGACTGGGTAGCTGCTTGGTCAGAACCAGATAAAACAGTGGGAGCAGGATAGAATGATATGCCACTTTGAGGTGCAGCGTTGCCACAACCCAAGAGTTGCATTAATCAAACTCAGGTTGTCTTGTTGAAATTCCTGGGAGAAAAAATATCAGCTGTTGTCAACAAAACAACAGGATAGATTGCAACACCCTGAACATCATCACTGGGGGACTGAGTCACACTAATGAAGATCATGCAATACTGATGAAATGTAGTGTGAATTTTCAGTTAAAACAAAAAGTTTTTTTTTTTTTTTTAAAAACATGCCTTTTTATATCAAACAAAAAGTTATTCTTGATTAAAATGATTTTCACAAAAGTGAAACTTTCAGTTCAGCTTTTTCTGAATGTGAATTAAATTAATTACATGTCAAACATTTTCTTCTTTGATCAAGATTGGACTTTTTTGTTATAGAAGTCATTTAAGAATAAGCACTGAGCTTTTTAAGTTCACAGTGTTCATCTCAGTTACGTAATTAAAGTAATGCCTTCTATGAGCTTGAAAACATCTTTATATAAGTAATACATTTCAATAGTATAAGAATTCACTCAACAATGACAGTCTCAGTTCAGTGTTTTGTCCCAATGCGAGGTTTTTGAACACAACAGCTGGAATAACTCAAAATTATTCATGGAAATACTGACTATATACAGACTTTTTCATAGAGCATTTCTAAAATGTTAAAATACAAAATGCAGCTTGGGTAGCTGAAATACCGAGACTGCTTGACACATTACTGGCTGGTGCTTGAAAAGTACCCAGTCCATGAGCTCCATTCATTTTCCTTTTTTGATTGGCTGTACCCTCCAGAGCATAGATAAGGAAAGACTGTGGAGGTCAGCTTCTGCTGTTGTGCCAAAATGGTTTCCATTGTGCATATTGTTGCATATGAAGGTGTTTAAACCATTATAATAGGCAGCTCTGAGCATTTTTGAAGCATCTGAAGTGTTTGCAGATTTCAGTAATTCACGGACGGTTGAATTACCATGAAAACTGGAGGTTAGCATCGAAAGCCTTTCATAGCTGAGTTTCTGTTGTTCCCAATCAATTCTACTTTCTAATGGTACAATGAAATCCCCCCACCTAAGAGGGGATTTTATGGCTGGACCTATTGCATCTTTTCATGGCTCCATGCTGAAATCCTTTCCTCTTAGGGCAGCAACTCAATCTTTCACAAACATTTGTAAAAGCAGTCTATGAGCCTAGGTTCTAAATTTTCTGTTATTGTAGTGAGGCAAACATCTGTATTCATGCTATAGAACTTATCAATTAGTGTTTCAGCTGGTTTCTGTGCAATAGAGGTGGGTAAATTGAACCAAAATATTAACAATATCAATACCAACTCAGCATCAGTATCAGATCCATATTAGCATGGTAAGAGCAATACTGTAGTTTCAGATTCTAATTTTTGCTCATTTCTGTATTGTAGTTTCTCAATTCTACCTCAAAGAGATTTTGTTTTGATTTGCTGTCAGATGATATTTTTTCCACTTCATTAAGAAAAAATGCACACATATCATGTTAAAGTTATTAAGGTATTTTGTAAACACCTAAAAACTTTGTCCAAATTCTTTCCAAAATAACTAAAAGCAAAAAAAAAAACAAAACAACTAAAACTCAGAAGTTCAATGATATATTAAACTTAAAAAGTATTGGTATCTGCGATACTGGCCCTGTATTTACTGGGTATCAGATCGATACCTAAGTTACCAGCAGCTCTCTTTGCTCCACCAACAGCTACCTGTTGATGCCGGAGTCACCCCTCTTTGTTCGTAAACGTCTCAGAGGGTAAGTTGAAAATTTATCGTGAAAATAACGTGAACAAAGCCATCCATCTTGCTGCGGCGAGTTTTGTCAGGGAGGCCTGATAATGATTGTTTCAAAATGCCACGATCGGGCCATACTTTGCTTCAAATCATAGCTTTCCCATTTTAAATATTATTCATCTAATATTGTAAAACAAACTATTTAGAGAAACAAATATGGAAACAACCTGATAGGGACTGCAGAGTTTCTGGTTTTATTGTTGATGTCATTTTCATGCATTCCCAGTTCTTACCAATAAACCTGACCTGCTGGGGTTTTTACTATAACAAGGAAAGAAATACGGTTGTTTGAGTAAGACTCAGAGGATGAACAAAGGCTCGCTCCCAATCCAACCCTCCACTGAATTTACCTTAGAAATATCTTATAGTATGTGTGTGTGTGTGTGTTTATTGTCATACTTGTTGCGGCAGTAGAGTGCCATGCACATTGTTCCCAGAAGACTGATTGCCATGGCGATGGACGTGATTGACAGCACCTGTCTCTTGTACACAGCTTTGCTCTCTGTGGAGAAACAAAAGCAGGAGAAGAAGAAGACACCATATTAATGTTTGAACAGCACGCTCTCGGGAAATAAAGCTGTATTTGTTGTACATATTTGCCTGCATATGTGTTTCAGACACAAAAGACAAAAAAAGAGGAAGGACGAATGGAAATGTTTTTGTCCTCTCAGAGTAAATCTGTCATTCATGGGAGATGTGTTCGCACTGAACCAATACACCATTCACAGGATTAAACATGGTTTTTGAGAGTCGCTCTTATCCGTTCTTAATTTCTAATGTGTTTCTCTAGCAGCACCCAAACAGCTATTTAAATCATCAAACAGGCAGTTATTGAACAAACAGCTCTCTGGAGCTTTTTTACCCCCCCCATCCCTCTTTTTTTTCAATCTGCCTTGATTCTTTTCAAGAGTAATTACTTCTGTGATAAACAAACCAAATACAACGGACATAAAATAACTCAATTCTCATTTGTATAAAAAACCCAGAACATATTTACAGCTTCCTGCCCCGCCACATGGGGTACTCCCGAGTTACGGTTTCAGCCCCTTCGGCTCGTTTTATCAGCTCTGCCACGTCGAGTAATGGTCCGATAGACACCAGACATTGCTTTTGAAATGGATGTCACATGTAATGGAGCCTGAACACTTGGAAACAAGAAGAGTTATGGTACGGAGGGACGCCATTAGTGGAGAAAAATGGAAGCTGTCTTGTTTGTTCCGAACAAGTAAATCACGGTTGCCTTCGGAAACATTAACAGGCGATCAGTCAAGGTTTATTTTTGCAATGTTCAGGCCTCGGGAAGCCGTAAAGACGATGGGCATAACAGGTTTTATATTGAGAAGGGTTTTTCTAAAGGATTTTATTTGTTGTGCAAAAGTATAATAATTACTGCTGGAATAACAAGATTACTATGTGGTTTGGAAAAGTTTGGGAAGGGATGGAATTTGATTTCAGTGCTTTTCAGATCTGGATAAGTATGGAAGTAGATTAAATCATTGTTTTCATTTCAATAACATACTTTTGTTTCCAAGCTTGTTTCTTAGTTTCTTTCCTCTTCTTGTGTAGTTCTTCCTTTATACATTCTTTCCTTCTTTTTGCATCCTTCTCTCCCTCCTTCCTTCCTTAAGATATTTAACATTTTAAAGTGACACTAGAAGAGAGAGAACTGCGGACAGTGAAGTCTGACACGTTTTCAGTGAAACATCTGGAGGAAACCTGACAGTGTTCAGAGTAGCTCCATTCCAGCCTGCTGCTGCGTCCATATTGCCTGGCATCGTCTCAGCTGATGTAACTCACTACTTCCTGACCTCATCAAGATATTCCTGAACTTATTGTAAGATATCTCTTTCGATATCTCAGTCAAAGAGATACTACTCTGCTCCACACAGATATAATCCATCAGACACACATGGCTTTCAATCCTTTATCCTCTTAAACAACAGATGCCGCAGAATCTCTCAGAGTGATGCCATACAACGTTTCCCCCCATCTTTCTCCACCTATGTCTAAATGACATTTCAGGCCGGCGTTATCCCAACGCTGCTAATCAAACTGCAGCATCACACCGACTCAAAGACTGTTATACATAACTACGTAATTAGAGGAAGATGAGAACAGTCCTGCAGAGACACACTGACACATACACTGTGGGGAGGGCAGACACACACTCAGAGCAGGACTGGAAGACAGAGATAGTTGGGGGAGATGTGGCTCAGAGAGATAAGAGATAAAGTAAGGAGGTGCACTGACGAGCCCAGACGTTTCACAGATGAACCCAGCCCATTTTTCTCTCCTGATAGATTTGACATAGTTTTCCACTTTAGCTGTTTTAAAAATTGCCTGTATAGCAAAACGATTTTTATTACCCATTATTAAGGTATGTCAAGATTTTAAGCTATTTGTATCCTAAATGGTTTTGTGATATTAACAAGGTAATTAGCATAAAAGGTAAAGCCAGGACAAAAGGAGCAGCACTGACCCTTTGCACACTATTAAGAAAGCGTCCTATTCTATTCCACCAAGATGGACGACAGAACAGTTGGTCGCCTAATATCGATTTTATTTGGTTGATTTCACAGTAAAAGCAATAATAGGATGATGGGGTCGACTGCACAAACAGGCGAGGAGGCAAACGTGTTGATAAGGGAAGCAGACGGAGATGGACAGCAGCTGTTAATTGTAAGGACTGGGAGACCTCAGTGGAATTGCGAATTTGCAGCAAACACTTTTTACTACGTAAAAGATTGACCTTCATATACTTCTGACATAAGGAAGATTAATAGTATGTAATCAAGTATTGGATTATGAAGATAAGTCTTAGTAAGCATAGAGCAAATGGCCTGCGATCACATAATGTACCATGTATGAACAAAACTGGTTAGCATCGAGACTTTCATACTTTTAAGTCTGCTCTGGTGTAAAAGAAAACTGCTTATGACAGTGATAGGAATCATATAGTGTGCATTCAGGCAGAGTCTAATTTTATTTGATCAAATCAACGAACGCATCAGGATGGAGAAGGTGTGGATTGGTTTTCCAGTTAACAAGTGAGCTAACACCATTGCCTTGACCCAGCTTGCTGAGCTACTTCCACAGAGAAATTAGCTCAACTTGAACGAGCAGATACCATGGCCGTTTTAGCAAAAACAAAAAGTGCTCCGTTCAATACTCCTGTCCCACACTTCTATCGTCCATCATGGCGCCTCAACATAATTAGTTGCAAAAGGTTAAGATGACAGCAGAGAGCAGTACATTTTGTGATAATATAAATATTCTGAGGTCTGGCTTTTTGGTGCTCTGTTCATAAGAAGTTTAAAGTGAATCCTAAAATCTACTGGTAGCCAATGTAACAAGTATAAAATAAAGCTCATGTGAGCTGTGGTGTTGGAACATGTCAAATCTACAGCTGAGGTAGTTTGCAAGACTTGGTGGTGAGAAATGGATAGTTTATCTAAACCAGTAAACAGGGAACATGATCATGATCTCAGTATGTCTTTTCTTTAGATATTTCTTCCAGATAGCTTCATAAATAAATTGCGATCTCTGTCAAATTATTTTTAAACACTTCACTGAACAGAATATAGCCTTTTGGAGAGCTCAGATTAAGAGTCCACATTTACTTGAATGCAACACATGAAAACAGTTGGCAATACTAAACAACGCTGTACCAATTATCAATATAAGATGCTAACACTTCAAATCAGAGCTGAACACTGTTTCACCGCGGCTACTGTCTCACTCACACAATGCGACCTCGTACGTGTTCCCTACATGGCCTGTGCTCTTTCTGCATGAACTGAAAGAGTGATCTCCCCCTCAATCCCCACCACCCTGCAAGGATAACCAGTATAGACAATAGATGGATAAATGGTACGAGCTAGAAACCAAAGATTAAAAACAGGCCACAGAATTCTGATTGGGGCATCTCTGTTCTTTGACAAAACTTCCCTGTTAAAATACAGAGTTATCCATTTAATTTTCATCTTCCATACCCACAAATTGTGTCTGTCCCATACTGAGCCTCACTGTTAAACCCCAGGAACATAAAGTGGGTGAGTGTAATGCTCTCATAACTCAGTACTGGCTGTTCTTGCTTGGTTTCTCTTGTAGGTTTGGTGTAAAGGCCAATTAGTGGCAAGACCTACACCTGTACCAGCTGTGTTCCTCCACCTCTCTGTCTGTGTGTCCGTCTCCTTCTCCTCTCGGAGCTGAGAACCAATCTACCGATGGAGGCAGGTTTACCACAGGCCTGAACACACTTTACACTACTATCAATGTGCTGATTTTTTTATGCCTCTGTCACCTTAACTCAATCTGCTCACCGGAGCCAAGTCCAATCTCTTGGAAATGATATACAAGTGGAAGTGTGAGTATGATCTGCAATGATTTGTTAATGCACACCAAAAAAAAAGAAGAAAAAAATCTGTCAAGAAAACTTTTTCTGTAAAATAAAAAAAAGAAAAGAAAAACCATTTTGAAAGGACTCATTACAAGTCATAATGCCTATAAAATTGCATTTTAACTAAAATCTCACCATTTGCTTGTATCATCAACAAAAGGTGACCTAAAATATTCATTTCAGCAGAAACAAATGAGGCTAAACACAAACTGAAAACCTTATTTTTCCTCCTTTATTTTTAAAACCGTTTCATGTTTTTCTATGGCAGCTTTTACACCAAAGGCTTAATTTAGATTGAGCTCTGTTGGCTGAGATTGATTGATGGATTACATGTTTATTGGTGAAGAAACAATTTATCTAAAATATGATATTGAGTTGTATGAAACAAATTTAAATGTAAATCCATTCACATTGCATGGTGCCTCTAGTTGCTGTGCAACAAGCAGCTTTCTCCAAGTTGTTATTCTTAGCCTTTGATCATGTTGTAGGAATCGTCTATCGTTTATTTAATAAGATTTCTTATTTCCATGCGTTTTTCTTGGGAGTTTACACACAGGGTAGAACATAATTATGAAGTAAATTAAAACGCTACATGGTTTTCAATTTCTTTTGTTTTACTTTTTTCTTTTATAAATGAAACTGATAAATGTGACCTCAATTATTAACCAGATAACATTAGTAAATGATATGGAACCACCTTTCACTGCTGCTACAGTTACAAGCCTTTTGGGGTAGCATCTCTGAAGATCTAGAAACTATTTATCTTTACAACCTAGCTCGCATTCAGTCACTTCAAATTTATGTCAGGATTTTTACAGAACCAAACTAAACGTGGATTTTATCAGTAGTGGGCACCGCTGACTAAAAATGCAATATTCCAGTGCATGTTTACTCTGCACTGGAATAGAAGTATGGGTATTTATTTTTTTTAAGGTTATCTGAATGCTTCCAGTTCATGCTTGAAAGCATGAATTAGAACATATTGTGTCAACAACACAACATGTGTTACAAAATAATATTGCCTTCAACAGGGTCAATCAGGAAGTGATTCTTTGGACCACTGATGGTCTCAGTTTTATAGTTGTTGAGTTTTGCTAACTCAG